TTTATCTTAGAGAGTAAAACGCAGTGGGGATGAGGCCTCTTCAGATATCTAGGGTAAACATTAGAAGGAAGAGGCAGCTCTTTTACAGTTGGGATCTGCTGGACGTATTGGTTCCTTCCACTGTTTTCAGCAAAGAGGCCAGGTCTGGCCCCAACGAGGATGGAAGTTAACTTAGCACTGGGGTATAAGATGCACGTTTATTAAGGGATGTTGAAGGTACCTGGTCATTTACTTTTTACACATTTAAGGAATTCTCTGTTGGATGTGTCTTTAAAGTCCTATCTCATAATTATCCACTTCACTTATTCAGCCTTCTCAGATGTCAAATTTCAATTTTCAAAAGAGTTAAGAACATGATTCTTTTACAAATAAAGAGGTCTCACCTGTCAAAAAATTTTATCTCATTAATGAGGAAATCAGCAAAGTGATGATGCTGGTTAAAAGTGAATTTGAGCACCAAAAGTTTATCTAGTCACTCCAGAAAGTCATTTTGCAATAAATTTGCTAAAGAGGAATATGGTTGATGTCTTTTCAGGGCCATAAAATTGTAACCTCTAAGATTATCTTCTGTGTGGGAAGAACGTTTTCAACTCTTCTGGAAGAGAATCTTCAAGTGTTTAGAGTCCAAGTCTTAAACAGTCAAAACTAGATGTTAAACTAAATACTTAATCCTGAAGAGAGCCTCCTGAACCACATTCCAGTGTGGAATGGACTGAAGGATTCTTAGCTGTCTCTATCTGTCAGTGTTTACTAGAGAACAGGTATCACACACGAATGTGTAAGAATTTAGATGGGCTCACATGGCCACCCAGGCAGGTGTGAAGGAATGTAAAAGGTCAGGCTGTACATCAAGGATCTGAAGGCTCCAGTCTAGGCCTGAAGCTTTGTGTCATGTCCTGTGCGAATCCATATCAGGAGCCTGAAGGGTCCGCACCTCAACGCTGAAGGGTCATCACTGGATGCTGAAAGGTCAGTGCTGAAAGCCAGGAGATAACATACGAGGTGGAAGCGAAGACTGGCTCCTCCAAAAGAAATAGAAGCGACCTTTCTTCTTTGTTTTGCTTTTACTGTATTCGAGCGATAATCTTCTCTAAGGTGAGTCTTCTATACCCAGAACTATGCTGAGCCAATTTAGTTTACTCAAGTTGACACCATCAACCCTTACACTATTTTACTTCCAAATATTGAAATATCTTTGCTAACCCAGGATTTCGTTTTCTCAAAAGATCAGAATGACCAAACTTAGGAAAAGTATCTAAGTTATTGTGTCCAATACTTGTTTATTAGCTTCTTGTTGAGTATTTTATTTATTTTACATCCATTGTGATAGCTTTAAAATATTAAGCTAGTAAATAAGTCTTTCTTTCTTACCAAATAGAATGCTAGTTCTGCTATTGCTCTCCCTCTGTCTCTGTCTCTGTCTCTCTCTCTCTCTTGCTCTTTCTCTCTCTTCCTGTGTGTGTATGTATTTACTTTTCCAAAGAAGTAACAGCATATAAGATGGATTTTTCTTCTGCTAACATTATTGTCCCCTGTCTTCTAGCTAAAATTGCATCCTCCAGGCAGAATAATCTACTAAATAAGAAGGCAGCTTCTTATTTTTTAGACAGCTCTAAGTAATAATCCTGGCTCCTTTATTAATACTGTCATCTAGCAACTTAGTTAGAATTCAGTTTCTGCATCTTCAGAGAAACAACATCTGCATGGTAGCTCCACTATGAAGATTATGTGAGGGTTGTTAGAACAATTCTATACATGGTAAAGGAATATAGTAAATATCAGCTATTGGTTCTTTTTCTTAACTTCATAAACCTCTCAACACAGAAAAAAGCAGTCGACATCTCTGAGATTTAAAACAGATTTCATGCAGACAGGTAAAATAATCACATTGTTACTCTTAGTATAAATTAAATTTTAAGTGAGATCTGTCTTATAGTGCTTTTTGTTCTTACTTTTGTTCAGTTCTGTAACTTTTCCACTTCACATCTGCATCTGTGAAATGAGAATGCACTGTTTACAAGAGTATTTCCTGCAAATGTAACAGTACTACATGGTTCCATGTGTTTGTAACACATAACCCTGATGTCAACCCTGATTCTCTTTACTTCAAACTGGGAGAATGGCTTGGGCTTAAAGACCTGCTTATACTCTTTGTGTTTTATTCTTAAAGCCAGTATATCAGGTTGTGTGTGTAGATTTGGGCAGATCTCTCCCAATTAAATCCTTGGCAGGCTGCTCAGATCTACTACTTTTTGAATCATTTGTATAAATTCAAGTAGCAGGTAGAAGAGAACCTCATTCAACCTCAACCTTTTCATAAGAGAGTTTATTTTCTTGAAAAGTTGGTGTCAGGACTAAGCCCTAAATGTGTAACTCCTAATTCGTTTTTCTGTAACAGGTATTAATTTCTGTTTGTAGCCTGCCTTGGGGATGAAGAAACCAGAGAAGCTAACATTTAGGCAAAGTACAAAGTCAACAAAATCAGTTACAGATGCATGAAGAAATCCACTGTAGTCTGTGAATTGTTTCATTAACAAGTTTGGAAACTGTGGAAAAGTTAGGAAATTGCTGCTTGTAGCTTGAGAGGCAATTTACCCAGTTTACCTGTCACCTGGTGGGCAGATTGCCAAGGGAAAGAGAAAGGAAGAGAAATTCCTTGAACCATTTCACAAGTGCAGCGCATGCTGTGTAACTCGGGTCTTTCATGAACTTTTTGCTATTATTTAAGTGAGATAAAGGCCTATGTATAACATCATACAAGCATGAAGTACTACAGTTAACTCCAACAAACTGACAGAAGCTTACAGATGTGCGACAGAGCACCTTCACTGATGCTGCTGGCAGGTCCTCTGTGAAGCAGCAGTGGCTGTGACATACATGTCATCACGCATTGCCCGTAAACAAGGAAGGCCTGCCTCAGAGTGGGACTGAGGGAATTGAAGCCTCACTTGAGTGCTTTGAGAGGCCAAGATCAAAAGCACTTTTAAGCATATCATATAATTATGATCATTAAGAAGCATGAGGCGAGGACTCCTAAACTCCCAAATTTTCAAAGCAACAAAAGCAGCACAGCTTTAATGGGACTTTGAAGTCAGCTAAATCTCCAGGTATTTTCATTATAGAAACTCACAACTAATTAAGAAAAACCCTATCTGGGCCAGTGTTTAATTATGTTTGCTTGTCCGCCTGTGTCATGTACTATGTTCTGAAAGTAGAGGGTGTCAACTGGATTGCACCAAAAGACTGTGCTGGGACCAGCCAACAGCATTCATTTTTCACAAACCATGGCATAGCAGGGTTTTGATGGTTTTCTTTTTCTTTTTCTTTTTCTTTTTTTTGTCTAAATAAATAAATCCTTAATAGGCATTGATGACTTTCTTAATAGTTCACATAACCCAAAGGCTAGTTAGAACTTTCTCCACAAGTATCATAGCTGTTTTATATTACAGACAATGTACTGAGCCATCTGTAGAAAAATGCTGGACAATTTTTGTCTAGCAATTAAATTCAGACACATAACCTTGAATATATCACCAAGAGAGGCTGCTTATATAGACGGAAGACTAGAACTCTTAAATGTCCAATAACCAGATCTTTCCTAAAGACACTTTTCCCTTAACACATATAAGATGGTCCATGTTGTATTTTTTTTTTAGTTTAAAATCATGGACAGGATTTAAAAAATTAGAAAACACAGGGATTTCTGGTGATTCTTAGAATACTGAAAGGCGTGACAACATGAGTGTTGCTTGGCATCCATGGGTCTTTTTTGCTAAGGAGAGAACTTGACCATCTCCTCACAAACCTAGCCATGATGAGTGAAAAAACAAAGTGTGGTACATTCATATAATGGAATTTTATTTGGTCATAAAAAATAAAGTACTGGTGTATCTTTCAACTTGAATGAACCTTGAATGTACTTTACTATGTGAAAGATGGCAAACACAAGAAACCACATATTGTATGATTCCATTTTTATGAAATGTCCAGAAAAGGAAAATCCATAGTGATGGAAAGCAGATTTGTGGGTGCTAAGGACCGGAAGCTAAGGGGAAATGGGCAATGATTGCTTGATGGGTATGGATTTCCCTCTCAGGTGACAAAAAAGTTCTATAACTAGGTACTGAGGGTTATGATTTCGTGTATGTACAAAGTGACACTGAATTGCACACCTTCAAATGGCTAAAATAGTGAGCTTCTTGTTGTGTTTATTTTACCACCACGAGAAAGCAAAGTATAAACTCCTTATCCTCATAACCATAGGATATACTGGGAAGAAGCAGAGGATTTGGTGAGGTCCACAAGCCCGTCTTGGCAGCATGCCCCCTTCCCTGGGAACAAATTGGTGCCTCGCTGCTCCACACCTCTCTCTGCCCACTTCTGGGGTGGAAAAATTTCCACTGAACTGTTTCACATGTGCAGCTAGGTCCTAAACTTGATTTCCAACAGCATACCCATCAGTACTTGCAGGTGGATGGCTTCTGTGTGAATATCCCATTTTATCACAAAGGGATTCCTGGAGACCCTAGCAGAACACTGCTTGTAGAACATATCCTGCCTCTGTCATTCCTTTCAGAGCTGGAAAGTATCCCAAATTCTATGTCTTGCCCTTTAGCGGATCCCATCCTCAACTGTCAGGTCCATATAGCCTCTACTCCTGCCCCCTTGGTTAGAACCATGCCTCTCCTTCCTTCAGAGAAGCCCCAAAATGATTAAATTGAAAGAATGCATCATTTGCTGAGCATTTACTATGTACCTGGCACTATTCTAGCCACTTCACACTTGATCTCTCATTTAATATTAAAATCATTGCTTCCAGGGGGTACACAGGTGATGAATACGGCCCCAGTAACTTACCCCAGTGCCCTTCAGCTAGGACAAAAGCCAAGATGCTACACCAGAGATGCTTTCGGTATCAGTACTCAAAACACTGCATTCATAAGCCTCCGTAAATCATAAGGCTTTGGATACTGCTGCAGAAGAAATCCTAAAAATCTCACCGAGAATCTTCTGAATGTCTCTTGGGGAGATATTCAGAGTTATGCCGGAACCTCAGGTGGCTGGTGGTGAGTGGCATCAGGGCATATGAAGTGGGCAGCTGTGTCTTGCATGACGGTTTGAGCTAGAGGACAGACATCCACCTACAGAGCAGTCACTCCTGCAGCAATGTTCTTTCCAGTTCCTTGTCTATGTTACATCCAGTCTCCAGCCTGTAATTTGAAGAAAACTGTGTCTTCACAGGGTGAATTTTTAAGAACTTGCATTGTGGCCATCAGGACCACATAAACCAAATATTGTGAACACATTGGATTTTGTTTTATTACTTCCTTCCCCAGCCCATTCTATACATTATTTACAAAGTGAATTTTCAAAGTGGAAAAACTATTATGTCAAACTACTCATAAGTTTTTCACTGGTTCCCTATTTCATGGAAGCTCCTAGGCTAATCTGCTCTCAAGTTTGATTGATTTACCATCAAGTTCTTGAACACGTTTTCTATTTTGCATTGCCTTCACGCCTCATGGATTCTGATCAGCTTCTCCAATACTCCATTCACTGCATATTTGCTGAATGGCATTCATTCCATACTGACATCTGTACCAAGCACTAGGAATATTGTAGGACATGATTTGCTCCTTGAAGGGCAACAGAATCTGGCAGAGGAACAAGATCCAGAAACAAAAACACAGCACAGAATGGTACTATAGAAAGACAAAGGAGGATACGATGCCACAGAGAGCAGCCCTGATACCTGGAAATCTGGGAGATCATCCCAGAGCAGATGTTTTCCTGGCTTTGTCCTGCTTCTCCACCTTGTAAAAGTCACTGAAAAATCAAAATCCCTCATGTCTTATGAAGTGTTTTCAAATATTCAAAATATGGTAACTAGAACTCCCAAACTTTATTCTTGCTAAGACTGTTTTTAGGTTTTTTTTTTTATTTCTCTACAGGTTTTAGAATCATTAAAGCTTGAATCTGAATTTCTCTTCTTCCATTTATTGCCCTGTTGTCTAGAAGAAATGACCCAAACCCCTCAGTGCCTTTCACTCTGGAACAGATGTGGTAATGCTACCTCACTTGGATGTCCCTACTTAGTACCATATGTAAAGAATATTCTGAGCATGAGGCTGACATCAGGACTTCACAGGCAGTACCAGCAAATATTTATGCAATTATTACTTTTCAGAAGAAAAGCTGCAATACAAATCCTATGCCTAACTGAATCTTGATTGCAGTAAGCTCTTATAAAAATAAGTTACATTATCCAAACTGTGGATACTTAGAAATGAATGTGCCCACTTATAATACAATCACTAGGTGTTTTACATGATTTCAGAATCTGCCTTTCAGCATGATTTTAAGTTTTGTATCAGATTGTGGCCAAGGGACCTCCTACTGACTGCCAGAGCAAACTGGAAAGATTCTGACAGCTTGGGTCAGCAGTATATCTTCAGTTTAATACACCTTTCTTATAAAGAAAAAAGAATAAGAGCTGTCTCTCCAGCCAATGCAAAGTGTGCTCCCATGACATGTCCCATGGTACTTTTGTTTATAGTCACATCAACCAACTCATCATAACAAATTTAGATCAGACTATGATGCCACTAAACAATCATCCAGAGGAATATTCCATGACCAAAAACAGTTCTAAACTTCAAGAGAAGAATGAGAGAAAACTGAAACCAATAATGAACATATTTTAAAAACCCAAAACATCTCCATACTATGCTATTGCAGGGCCAGGCTCAGCAGAATACTTAGTATGGATTTTAGTAAAAAGAGTAAAGAATGTAGAAAAAATTTGAAGACAGACAAAGAACATCATGTGCTTAAGGTTTCCAAAGATGTTGGGCCTGCATGTTTTTGTAAAGAAACATCTGTCAGGGTTTGCGAACACTCAAGGGTACCCCTGTTTCATGTTGGAAGAGGTTGTGGAGTCAAAGCCCCCAGGCTAATTAAGCTGGATTGTCTGCTCCTGGGAGAAGCCAGAATTTAGCTGAGTGCCTGATGCTATTTTGATGCCAACTAACGAACTTCTGGATACTAATGAGACCCCACCATTTCAGAGCAGTTACATTCATTGGATTTAATCAAAACGTCTATCAGCATGTTCCCTATTCAAGGGTATCACCAGTGACTGCTGCGTTCTGGAGCAGCTCTGCCTCTGAGCAAGCACACTGCTTCAGAGCTTTGAGTCCTCTCGGGTTTCTTATTCCTGCTAATCTGTGGTGGATCTCAGCCACCTGGCAGACCCATCCATGGTACTTCAGACATGTTGTATTTCTATTTTCTGTATAGGCAATCAAAAGCATGAAAACTCACACAGTTTTTAATGCTGTGATTGCTTTGAAATTTTCATGGTAGAAATATAACTGCTCTTGCAAACTTCAGAATAAAGCTACCCAATGAGCTCTAGCCAAAGACATATTCTCAACCCTGAACAAAGCAAGCATCTCATTGTTGACTGCCCCACAGTCTTCACCTGGTTCCGGTGGTTACTGGGAAACAAATGGTAAAATGGAGAGTTGCATGCCTCACTACCTAAGAATAGCAGATCCTTGAGAATTTGGAGGCAGAATACCAACCTTGTAAATGTACCTAAATTTGACAGTTATTGTCATTGAGAGTTGCTGAATTTTGGTCAGAAATGCCTAAAAGGAAATAAAACCTGGCCTCTAATATATAACATTTCTTGTGGTAAAAATTAGCATAATTTTACTGTTTGCATAGGGGTGTTCTGAGGCCTGTTTGAAGGAAGGAGCATGATTTTTCTGGGTCGCTGCCAACTGTATGATTTTATACATCTACAATCAGGTAGAATAACATACCTAACTGGTCACCCTAGAAGACATCTGATTGTTCCAAGTTGGCTAGAACAATGTAAAGAGCTCCTTTTCCTGTTTATTTTCTGGGTGAAAACAAGCACAAGCCTTGGCAGCTGTGCAAATGAAGACTAAGGTAAGGAGTCACATGGCTCTATCTGTGCCTCCAAGAAAGGTTCTGTTCAGATCAGGTTCTGAAAGGTGCGAAGGCTCCTGTTTCACTGCAGCTGCTGTGCTCGGATCCAGCCAGCCACGATCAGGAAAGCAAGAGCCTCCAGCCAAGTCTGAAACCCACTCAGCCCCTGTGGGATTTGAGTTTAGCTCTTTTAAAACAACATTTTGATGAGTTGTGTGTAAATGAATCAGAAACATATGGATTCAATTTCCCTTGAAGAGTACGTGGGTTTAAAAATTAAGGGGAAAAAATATGTGGAGCTTGGGTCCATATCAAAGGCGAAATGTTCAAAAAATAATGCAAGACGGTTTGCAGGAAAGACAGCAGGCCTTCCTTCGTGAAGCACAGTGATGGCAGCAGGCTGAAGGGCGAGTCCTGCAACTCTGAAGTTAACATATGTGTGCTGGCTTGGTCTTCTTGTGATGTCCTGGGACCCCATGAGCAACACCCAGCAAATGAAAAGCAGACACCAGCCACCAGGGAGGCCACATCATATCTGGGCTGAAAATTAAATTGCCAGCCAGCGGAAGAGATTTTCAAACAAGGTACTTGCACTCTCTTTTTAAGTTAATTTAATTCTCAATGGAGGACAGTCTGCAGATGAGATAGCAACTAAAGCAAAGAAACACAAACCATGAGTTGTCTTTCCTGAATTTCGGAGGCTGTCAGGGCCAGAATCCATGAACATCAGTGAAAGAGCTGATTTTCTACTGAATCTTGGTCATGGGGAAACTCTGGTTCCTAAATTCATTCATTCATGGAACATTTACTGAGTACCTCCTGTGTCCCCAGTACTGTTCTCAGAACCAGAAATATATTTTAAAAAAAAAGAGAGAGAGAAATTGTTGCTACCTTCAAGCAGTCTTTACTTTTTTTTTTTTTTTTTTTTTGTCTTTTTCATTTTTATCGGTACCAGGGATCGAACTCACGACTGCAGGCGCTTATGCAGGCGCTTATGCCGCTGAGCTATATCCCCAGCCCCTTAGTCTTTACTTTTTAATAGGGCAGTGATGCATATGCAAATTATTGCCCCAACTTTGTCTGGTTACTAAAACAGGATGTACGGTCACAAGGACTGTAACAGGAGGGATGGTCAACTCTACCTTGGAAGGGGGGAATGAAGAAAGTCTTGTGAAAAAAGGTCAGTGCGGTAGAGATTATGCCCTGAGTTTATGAGAGTGGTTGAACACACCACAGCCCCTGATGTGCAAGGTCACATGCGGCTTGCACACTGGAAAGGAAGGAACAACCAGGAGCTATAAAAGGCCTTGTAATACCAAAAGCATAAGGGGGCCCCACAGGAGGATGTGATTGACTTGTTTGAATAATTCTAAGCTGGCAGGGAACTGGCTCTACTCCTAGGGATAAGCAGCAGGACTGTCCTTGGCAGGGGACCTTATCCACGGGGGAAAAGGAGGCAGAGACTGAGGGTTAGGCCCTCCCAACCTCACCAGATGTCAAAGTAATAACATAATGTCCATAAGGCAAACACTGAAAAATGAGTGTGGGAGCTTTCCCGTATGTCTGGGTAAGAGTACACTGGCAGGCCAAACAGAATGAGAGCAAAGGTCCAAAGGCAAAAGGCAGCCCAGAAAATTAGCTAAATATTTTGAAAAAAGGAATGAGAATTTCTTTCCACAGATTTATGGAAAAGAAACCACAATCTGCCCTTAAAGTTTAAATTATTTAAATATTAAAACTAATGAAAGATGTTAACTTAAAGCAGGACTGTCCAATAGAAATATAATATGAGCCAGAAACATGAGACGCTTATGCAATTTCAAGCTTTCTAACCACATAAAAAGGAAAATAGGTAAAATTAATTTTTAATGACATACATCATTTGAGCCAATATATCAAAAATCTTAACCATTTTAACATGAAATAACAAAAATTAGCAAGATATTTACATTCTTTGTTACATACTGAGTCTTTGAAATCCAATATGTACTTTTTGTAATTACGGCATACGTCAATTTGGACCGGCCACACATTTCAAATGCTCAATACCCACATTTAGCTGACGGCTACCATATTGGACAGCGTAGATTAAGAGCACCTTGAATTGGCTAAAATTTGGAGCAAAATGCTATCCTGTTTTTTTTTCATCTGTTTTTTTTTTTTATGACAATCTATCTTTAAATATTCTTATGAGCTCTCCACCTCTCAGGACAAGTATTTTTCTCTTATGGCTTAACCCAGATAATTCTGTTATCTTAAAAACACCATTGTCAAAGAATTCACACTTCATACCATGTACTTGCTATGTGGCATAGAAATAATTTCATTTTTGACATAGAGTGACAGGAAAAACATCTAAGAAAGAAGATATGAAGATAAATAGAGCTCTTGTTTCCACTTTATTCCTAATGTTTTGAAACAACTAAGAAAATTAAGTTCTTATATTTGTGAACAATGATCTAGCAGGAATTGCAACAAGAGTTCAAAACAGAGGAAAGTAGGGGAGGGAAGCTGTGATTTAGCCTAGTAACATCAAGATGCACACTGATAAATCAAGATGCAGTTTGCAGATGGTTAAAAGGCCTGCAAGGCAGTTTTAGAAAGATCTTCTAGGGGTTAAATAATAAAATACTCCATAGAATGTAGTATGGACCAAACCAACTTCATTTTCCATTACTACACAGCTGAATAGCTTTCTTTCTGATCATGTAAAAGGTCCCTTGCTTGACTGATTACTCACCCATGGAGCGTGTGCATTTCAGTCTGAAAATTCCCCTAACCCATCATTTTAAATTTTGTCTTTGACATACGTTAGGCAAATAGAAAAAATTAAAAAGTAATGAGGAGGGGGCTCGATTGCTTTGAGAAGTTTCCACATATGTGCTAATTAGTGATTCCATCTGAAAATATTCCCAAAAAGCTGGATGTGTATAGCAGGCTGGAATAAATAATGCAGAGACCCTGTGGCAGTGTCACAAACACGATAATGAAGGCTGCTTGTGAGTTCAGAGAGTCTCCTAGTGCCTGGGCTGAGAATAAAAACATCAATGGAGCAAAACTGCTCTAACAACCTCAGAGCTATCTCACACACACACACACACACACACACACACACACACACCATTTTATTATTTCAGTCTTTTGGTGTAGGCTCAGCAGCTATTTCAGGGTTTATACCTCACCCATGCTATACTTTCAAGTCTTTTTTTTTTTCATAAAGTGAAATTGCATTTCTTACATACAGCCTACAGTGCCACTGAAATGTGCAGTCATCATTCAAACTCTGGTCCAGTTACATAAGCACATGGGGATGATTAGCTGTAAAACAAGGCATTAGTCCACAGGCTCAAATACCAAATGAAATACTCTCCGATTACAGGGCCTGCAACCTCCGGAAGTCCCTTGTGTGAGATGACAAGCCCACTGCTTAGTCTTCTGATACAATGCTCAACCTTGTTTTTTAAGTACAACTGAGTTTCACCAATTGGACCAGAAACACCGCTGAGTGAAAAGCATTCT